CGACTTGTGACAGCCCATGTCAGCAGCAATCGTGGCGTAGCTCTGGTTTCCATCATTGTCAACTGTCTCCTTGATGGCAGCGACAAACTCGTTGGTCCTAATGGCCGAAGAACAACATTGTGGGTCTTTTGTTTGGCAGCAAAATTGTCCTTGTTCTGACACGCCTTCTACTTCCTCCAAATATTCATGACCATGGTCCTCTTGAACCCAAACCAGGCCATCACTTCCGCAGGGTTCTTCCCGACACAAAATAAAGCTACTACCGCTGCTCTGCACTCATATTCCATCCTGGAAAAGGGTAGAGAGAAAAACGTTAGTTAGTTGTCAAACTGTCAGGTATCTGCATATACAACTTTGTTTTTATTGCCTATTTCTTTTTGTCAAGTGTCGGATTTTTGCTGCAATACCCTGTATGTATGTATGTATGTATATATATATATATATATATATATATATATATATATATATTAGGCAGCATATAATTTATATACAAAGAAATAATCACATATAGAATCAATCAGCAATATTAATGCTATTATTGGTTGGCAATAACCATCGCTAGTAGTGTATAATGTATGCATTAAAATACTGTTAATCCAGAGAATGATGTGATCCTCATTTATAAAACATGACATATTAACTGAAAAAACTTGTAAAAATAGAATATGTGGATTTTACCACATCACAAGAAAAGTTCAAATAAAATTCTCACTTAAAATTTTGAAAAATTTAGTATTGCGTCTTTGCACATTCCGATATTGTACACAACCGTCAATAATAGCACATTCTCAAAAAAACATCTTTCGGTCTACAAACAATTATTTCGTCTCCAAGTTTTGATTTTATAAGTAAAGGATATGCCTGGCGATGAATAAAGGATTATACAGTTTTATAAATGAGGATCACATCATTCTATGGATTAACAGTATTTTAATGCATACATTATACACTACTAGCGATGGATATCGCCAATAATAGCATTAATATTGCTGATTGATTCTATGTGTGATTATTTCTTTGTGTGTATATATATATATATTATATATATAAATGAGAGAAAGAACAAATGGAATAAAAACCCACAGTTCATAGCATTTACTTTTAAAAAAGTGCTCAATACAAAGTAAAGCAAAATATTATTATAAGGGATTATAATAAAAAACATTTAAATCGCTACACAAAAGCTTTCATGTTCCAATACTATGATTGTACTCCCTCAGGCGATGGTTGGTAACTGGTGATAAAATGATATTTTAGAGAAATTTAAAAACAAATAAGGTAGAGATTGGCGGTTTAACTAAAAATCAACTTTTTTCGGTTTTGTCTTCACACTGTGAAACCGCATCAAATTTTTTTATGAAACTGAAATCATTCAGTTTTTTAAGTGCTAATACTACTGAATGAACATATCCAAAGAAACACTATTGTAAAAAAAACTTTCAGATGTTAATAAAATTAAATTTTATATACCATTGTAAGAGAAAAAGATTGAACCAAAATATGTTAAAAACATTTGACTAATTTTAGGAAATAAAAGTGAAATCTATTTGTTTACAAAAGAAATGAAGAAGAAAACAAAAAGAAATCCATTAGATATGACATTTGGAAATCATAGAAAAAAAGGAAATACGACATGATGTCTGAAATCTATTTGTTTCAGTTTTCAAAAAAAATTTAAAAAATTTGTGGTAAAATTAAGTTCTAGTAGGCCAGTAGTATGCTAATAACAAAATAAAGTTGTAAACAAGAAAAATGAATGAAGATTTTTTTTTTTATAAATAAATTTATTTTTTATCTAGGGAATGCACCTAAATAAGATAATTAAGAATAATTAAAATAGTTCTTAATTTCACTCTTAAAATGCATATATTTCCAGATATGCGAGTCTCTAGTGTAAAATTGTTTGTTTTCTACAAATAAAATTGTGTATATCTAGTGAAAATTAGATATTAAAAAAATAAAGTTAGTTTTAATCTCAGTTTTAAAATGTGTATATTTTCAAAACTACAAGTCATTTTTTTTTTTTTTTTTTTTTTTTAAACCCAAAGTAAAAAAATTATTCTTTTTTAGCCACTAGTGTTTGGTGGGTGTTTGTTACTGTTCTACCTATAAAATTCTTCTAAACAAGGAAAATTAATTCATTTTATTTTTACGAATATCTTTATGGTTTTATCTAGCAAATACACTTAAGATTATATTAAAATAGTTAATTTCAGTTTTAAAATGTGTATCTAAAAAAGAACAGATGATACTTGCAGACATGGAAATACAAACATTCTAAAAATGAAATTAAAAGCTTTTAATTATTTTTAATATTTAATTTTAGGTGTATTCGCTAGATAAAAACAAATTTAAGAAAAAAAAATAACTCATTGATTTTCCTTCTTTAGAAGAAATTTATTTGCAAAACCCCAATAACAGTTGACTGGTGTACCAGAAAAGAATTGCCCCATTTTTAATTATTTTAAACATGAGGGGTTTCATTTTTTGGATTTTTAAAAGCCACATAAACTAATTTCTGGAGAACTATATATCATTTTCTCTCAAAAATGTATGGTCCAATGACACAAAATAGTTTATACAATGATTTCTTTCTTATTTTACCAATTTGTTAATAAATATGGTAGTTATTTATAGTTGACAATTTATTCAAATGTTTAATAAACTTTAATCTAAGTCATAAATTCTATAACTAAATTAATTACCTTAAGGCCTAAAAACTGACTTTAGGTGAGCAATACCTACTTTATTGCCCACCCTGATTCTTGGTTTTCAGGTTTTCAATTCCAGTGCTCTTTACTTTATGCATATCTATACATTTTTATTACTCTTGTTTAAAAAAAAAAAAAAGAAAAAAAAAACAAATATTGACCCCTTACCCATTAACCAACTCCCACAATGACAGCCAAAAAAGTTTTTGAAACACAACACTTTCCGTGACAAGACAGTAGTTCATTTACCTACATAAGTTGCTTTTTTTTTTTTGCTTACTTTCTAATTTTTGAAGGAATTCTCTTCCACAGGTCAGAGAAGAAATGAACATCTTCCTGGTTGTAGTTTAAAGTGTCTTTTAATGATTGTACAATTTCAAGGATATTGATAAAGATTGGTCACTTCTTTGATTTTGCAAAACAAAGTAACATGTAAGATTTAGTAGTCTCTAAAAAAAAAATCATATTTCATGTTTTCATTTGTTTAAAGCAAAATACCATTTTAACTCGCTGTAAAAAAATAATTCAGTGAATAAAAGCACATACAAATTACATATTTAGAAAGATTATTTTATTTTCTTTCTGACCATATGAATATTTTTAAGATTGAAATACACGACAATTTGCGAGTTGAACGGACTAAATTACAAATTTATCAATCTCAAATGAAATCAGATATTGACTGGAAATGCTATCATTACACAAGAAAATGAATGGCTTCCTTAGAAAGCAAAAATACTTAATTGAAAAACAAAAAACCAAATTGAAAACCGTGTTATCAAGGAAAATCAAAAAGGAAACTGATACCAAAACATAAATTGCCAAACCGACCAACTCTAAAATAAGTTAATGATTTGTTTTTAAATTTCCCTAAGAAATCATTTAATCACCAGTTACCAACCATTGCCTGAGGAAGTACAATCATAGTATTGAAACACGAAAGCTTTTGTGTAGTGATTTAAAATGTTTTTTTTTATAATTCCTTATAATATATATAATGAAAGCAAAGTCCTTAGAAATCCATAGGTAAGAGTTTATTTCATGGGATCAGGGCACCATATGTATATAAAAAATTTTACAACAATAAATAGATTTTAAATTTATCCAGGCACAAGCAAAAAAAGAAAAGAGGGGAAGGCAGACATTTCAAAATAAGGATTTTTTTTTAGGGGGCGGGGAAAAGAGTAAGAAAGGGAAAGAAAAGTGTTAAGCAGTCAATCAACGGGTTAACCTAGAAGATATTTCCTTTACTCCCCACCCAGGGACATGACTAGTAAAAGAGTGAGCATATTCAAAAAGGAATATATTCAAAAAAGATACATTGAGATATCTAGTCATTTCATGCAGTGGAATGTCATCACATCATAACCGTTATAATTCCCCCAAAATTTGATGATTATAATAATAAAAAATATTAATATTAAAATTTTTTTAAAAAAAAGGCAACCTTTTAATATAAAAATTTTGATTAAATAAAGTTATAAAAAAGGACCATTTTAAGTAACTAAAAACATAAAATTACAAAAGAATTTATATATATATATATATATATATATATATATATATATATATATTAATATTATATAAATATATATATATAAATATATATATATATATATATACATACACACATCCCCATATATTTACATACATAGGCACAATTACATAGACACAAACATATATATATATATACACACACACACATATACATACATGTACATATAAGCATATACACATAAAAGTACACACACACACACACGTGTGTGTGTGTATATATATATATATATATATATATATATATATATATATATATATATATCTCCGCATACACATATAAAAAACACAAACAACTATACATAAATGCATATCCATACATACATACACATAAGGATTAGTAGTAAAATTAATAATAAAACAATAATATAAAATATATATGTGTGTGTGTAATGAGAGGTGTTTCTTGAAAAAGTCTCGTCCCAACTCACTTCTCAGAGCCAATATTTCAATGAACAAACATCAGAAACAGAATTTTTGTTTTGATTTGTTAAAAGAACTAGAAAAATGCTGTGGTAAGTATGTAAGGATATGTGAAATATATATTTCATGGCTTTCAGTTATTCTTCTTTCCTACTACAGAACGTTTTAGTCCCCACCTCTACATATATATTCAGTATATGGATGGATGCATAATCAATTTATCCATTATTTCATTAATTTATTATTTTGCATCATGAGAAAAATACATAGAATTGTATTCCTCCTATCTACAAATTTTTGCTTCACTTTCAGCAAACTGTGTGTGGTTTTGATCTTCTCCGTGCCAATGGGAAATCCTATGTCTGTGATGTTAATGGATTCAGTTTTGTAAAGAATTCTAGCAAATATTATGATGATTGTGCTAAAATTCTTGGGTAAGCATTGCTGTTTTTAATAACCAAATAGTAAAATATAAAAGTCTTGTTGCTTCACATATATATACCTCTTCTATAACAGTACATTCTTAATTGACAACACAGTCTTATTCATTTTATGAATATATAATGTTTATTTGTTACTTGAAGTAATTTTTTTCTTGTTATATAAAATATTTTGTATATTATTTGTAGGACAATGGTCATGCGTGCTTTAGCACCACAGTTAGATATTCCCTGGGTATTAGGATCAGCTCCTGAAGATGTACCCGTTGTCCCAACAACATCTGGCTCAATGTAATTTTCTGTTTTTTACTTTTACTTTCTTTTTTATTATAGGTTTTGAAAGAATAATTATTTTCAAAAGATTACGATTGTTCTTAATTGTTTAAATCATTTTAAGTCACTCAGCAGTTTGAACAGTACAGTTTAAAACTTGATGTTAACATCTTGTCAATAGAATATCTAACTTCAAAAATAGACATTATGGAAGTTTTTTTTTTTCCATTTATTCAGCATTTTTGATATAATTTAACAAAATATTTTCTGCTGGTATTGAACAAAATTACAAAATTATCTAAATACACTTAACACACTCGTGGCTAGTTATTATCTAGTGATTAGTTTCATCAAATTTTAACTTATTTATAAATATCTTTTATATCGTAATGCTTCATCACTTAAGTAACAGAGATGTTACCCTTTGTTAAAATGAGTACCAGGGAGGATTATATAATCTGAAAGTTTTGTTATACTAATGAAAATGATGTTTAATACATATTTTGATATGGGGAAGTTATAAGCTTTTTTCTTATTTATTTTCTTTTGTTCATATGATTTTTTTTATTTCTATGCCTTTAATATTCTATAAAAAGTTTCTCTGTTTCTTTAAAGGATGGAGCTTCGCTGTGTCATTGCAGTCATCAGGCATGGAGACAGAACACCTAAACAGAAGATGAAAATGGAGGTCAAGCACAAAAAGTAAGTAGTTTATTGATTTTCATTTAATAACATTATTAAAAAGGTTTTGTTTTGTTTTTTAACAAAATAGTTCTTTCTTTCTCAAATAAGTTAAAAATGGATTTCGTTTATAAATTATGCATTTGTAACACTTGCTTGCTAAGTTTACTATATAAATACTTAGAAATCTAAAATTGTTTTGTGATGCAACATTATTTCATAATTGATCTTCGAAGTTAAATAATATTGTCTCTGGTTATTGATAAATGAGAACATAGTAAATGATTTTCTTAGTGGATATTTTGGTTATGTATATTCTTAATGTCAATTGGGTTTCAATGTGAAACTGGGTTAAAACCAGGGACAAGTACAGAGTTTAGATTCTTCCAAAGAATCATTTTGCATCAAGAGTTTTTCTGTCCTTGTCTGGAGGTGTTTTTGGAGGATGGTTGAAAACATAGCCCCATAGTGGGTGAATTTTATCCAGTTAACTAACAAGTTCACAAGTTCAGTTTGCATGTTAGGAAAGGACCATTCCAATCACGGTACAAGTGAAGTATGTCTTCTCTTCATACAAAGTCCAATATTCCTAAATACGACTTTGGGAAGGCTGGAGTATACAGCAGCAAAATGTTGTAAGAAAATAATTGACAAAAATTAGGAAATTAGTTTGAGCTAACAAAAATATTAAGCCTTCTAGGTATTAGAATAATAATCATAGTGGTTCTGACATGTAAGCCTGCAAAAAATGATTATGCAAGAGGTTAATTTTTTTCATGAATTTAAACAAATCAGTTAATAAAATCTTGCCAAAAAGTAATTGACTGCACAGGGAGCTGCAAAAGTAGGTATACAATAAGTATACAATACCAGTATTACTATAATGGTTCTAGGATTCATTTAAGACTGGAATTCATTTAATCCACTAAAATCATTTTTAATATTTTTATTTTCATAATTTTTATTATTATGCATTTATTATAATTTTTATTTTTTAATGAATAATAAAAATAATAAATTTTTTGCAGGAAAAGAGGAGTGCATGCATGAGTAGGGGCAAACAGTTTGAACATTTGAGGCATTGATATGTTTCTATAATCAATATGTTTTGTTTTTCATTACTGTATACCTACTTTTGCATCCCTCTGTTTGTATATTAACATAATTGAAATATTCTATTTTGTAATTGTTTAATCAAAGGTTTATCAAACTATTGAAAAAAGATTCTTTTTGAGTTTTCAACTTAATAATAAAAATAATCATTTCTTTATTCTTTTATATTTATGATTTCTGGTAATAAGTAAATGTTTTTCTCACTTAGTTTTTTTTTTTTTTTTTTAGGTTTTTTTTGAACTTTTTGAAAAATATCAAGGTTATAAAAATGGCCACTTGAAGCTAAAGAAACCTAAACAACTGCAGGAAGTATTGGACATTGTCAGATTCTTATTGAATGAGAATAAAATTAAAAAAAACAGTGTAATTGAAGAGAAAAAAGCTAAATTGGAGCAACTGAAACTTGTATTAGAAATGTAAGTATATTCATTATTATTATTTATAATTTGTTTTAAAAAGATTTTTGCGTTTTCAGTCTTGAAATGGATATTATTGAAATCGAACTATATTGTTTTTTTTTTTATCTTTTGAAAAATACTAAAGTGAATAAAAATAGCCACTAGGAAATAGAAAGGAGTAATGTCTTCTGTATTTGCTGTTTATTTTATTGATATTTTCAATCTATTTAAATTTGTAAAACAACTTTGCACTTATTTCACAGGAATGTCTTCTGTAGGCAAATTTAGTTATTGTAATTTAAGTTTAACAATTTGTACTTCATTTTTAATTTGCTCCTTATAAACTGTGCTAAACAATGAAAAATACTATTTTTCTAATAATAATCCTAGCCTATTTAAGTTTTGTCAGATAAACAGTAGCATTTTGCTGATATTTCAACAGATCTTTTGTGAATAACATGGGTAGAATTACATATTTCTTTTAAATGTTTAAGATAGAAGAAATGATAGACTGCATAATAATTTCATTATTTGGTAAAGTTGATTGATGCTTTATGTGTAAAGTTTAATATTGTTTTATCAGCAAAATTACAAATATTTCAAGATATTAGATGACTATGTAATTATATAAATTGGGCTGTCTTCTGCCATTGTTGTGATAGAAGCATTTGGGCATGATTGTAAGAAAACAAGTGACAATCATAAATTGAGTTAGTAATCTGCTTCAAAGGAGTAACCAAATGGTTTGGCAACCAAAATTAGGAAAAATTCTCCTGAGACAAAAGTACCACTTTTATGTGAAGTGTCTATTGAATATTCATAATGTCCTTCAGCATAAAAAAAAAACACTAAGCCAGGTGAAACAGTAGCTATCTGACTGCACTGATAGATATGAGACTTTTTTAACATTTACCTTTTGACAAATCTGCTGATATGTCTAGATTATGAATTAAAACTTCATAATATCTTCACTCTTATATAAATGTTATCTAATGTCCAAAATGTTGAGTAGATTTTTATCTTTTATATAAATTCAAATTTTTTTTAAAATATAACCTTTCTACAGAAAAGTTGGCATATTAATGCCTTAAATTTGATTTAGAACTGTGCAAAGCAAAGACATTCAAATCCTTCAGCTATCTACACACACACACACACACACACACAAGGTATCCCAAAAATTGCAGTATGCAAATTTTGTATTTTTTACCAAATGAAATAATGTTTGTGTATGTGACAATATATTAAATGCAAATTTTATTGGTATGATTATGGAAGATGATTTCATGCAAATTTCCTCTGGTTGGTATTTCACAAGGGTATGTTTTCTTCCAATTGGAACACGACTTTTGGGACATCCTATATATATATATATATATATATATATATATGCCAATATCACTGTCTCTATGTGTATGATACATGAACATGAAATATACATGAGTGATATTGATATCCTTCAAGGCAGTTTGTCTACCAGTGCAGAGTCTCTGGTACTTCAGCGCTAGTTGCAATGGTGAGGTCTGTGGTCAGGATAAAGGACAATAGGATCTCTAAGCAGTTTCTAAATGGTGAATCGACTGAAGGAAAAAAAATCAATGCACAATCTGAAATTGTGGAATAGAAATTGCATCAAGAACACACTAAAGAATGCCAACATCTCTCACACACACACAAATATATCTATATTGAATTCCAGTCAAGCTCATTAGGTTCACTTACATGCAGATACCCTTGGGAAAGGTATGAATCCATCTCTTCTTCCCCTCCCACTATGGGTTGAATAGCAGGACAGACTGGGTTCTTTAACGTTGGTTGGCAGCCAGTCTACTGCAGAAAGAAATGGCAACTTACTGCAGGAAAAAATCTGCCTTGTCAGTCATGAATTGAAAGAGACATGATTGCTCAAGCGTGCATCATGTATGGCACTAAACTAACATACTGACATACATACATACATACATACATATATATATATATATATATATATATATATATATATATATGTATGTATATATATATATATATATATATATATATATATATATATATATATATATATATATTATCTACAGACAGACTGTTTTGCTGTATCACAGCTCATCAGTGTGGCTAGATGTCTGGTTGCCTCTAGCTAGGATCGAAACTCAACTGAATTGGCATCAGTCAGGGATTCTACCACTAAGCCGTTGTCACACAGCAGGGATGAAGGTGAATTTAAGCATATTTATTTCTAGGTAAACGCACAGTTACTGAGAGAGCTCGTTTTGATTTACTGAAGAGTATGCCCCATTATCACTTTTTCTGTGTCTATGACATACAAACATGAAAAACGTGTATGTGTGTGACACTTTTCTTTGTCCCCAGAAGAGTCTGGTACAATAGAGATTGGAAAATTTTAGTGCAACCTTACTTGATGATAATGTAAAAGAACTAGAATTTTATGTCATTTTAAACTTGGCAAAGAAAATGTCATAATTTATTGATATCTTAAATTATCTTCCAGGTAAATTGATACAAATCTTGCCATTGAATTGTACAACTTAACAACTGCCATTTTTTGGGGGTAGTTTGAGTAAACTAGTTTCATATAATTGCATTTCTTTTTTTAAAACCCTTCTCTGTCAAATAAAGATATGTATTTTACTGAGCAACTCTACAGATTTAGAAAATCTTTAACTTTATATGTCACACATTGATTTTGATGGAATCAATTTTAGTATCTTAGAAAAGTTCTTATGAAATACTTTTTAATCAGTTGTCATAGAGCATGTGGACTTGTATGATTTTAGTTATATGTTTATATATAAATAATACTGTGGTGTGTTTTTTGCTTGAAATACTGACTGACTAAAAGACATTATTTTTTTGTTTTCTACTATAAGTTCAGTCTCCTTTTATAACAATGTGTAACCTTCTTTTCACTTGATCTCCTCTTTTTCATCTTTAGTGCATTTATTAAGAGTGATTAAAAGAGAAAGAATTGAAAAAATCCTAACATAACTTGATGCACTCGTTTTTTCATATTGCGTGTCTTTTTTTTATTTCTATTTAAAATAAAAAGTAAATGTTAATCAAAATACTTGCTCTTCCCTCACGTAAATTTTCCTCTCAAGTCATAATCCTGACATTCTTTATGAAATCACTTTAACTGTACTACTCAGCACATAAGCATTTCTTTTGGTTGATATCTTTATTCTCTATTTCAACTAAAAGGACTTTACTTATTATACAAATTATTGTACCTATTCAGTATTTCTTGGTTTTCAATTTTAAGTTAAATGTTTCAATAGTTTCATTTCTCATTATTACCAACATTTTTTTAACACGTGTTTCATTCATTATATAAAATGATTTGTTATTGGCTATTATCAAGAAACATTTTGACAGGTTTTGGGATTCCTCATAAAGAATTTGAGTTAATTTTTACTCTACAAAGTCAAGTTATATGTTGTATAAAGATTAGCATAAATTTATACAGTTTTTTAAATTTACTTTTTGTTGACATTTTTTTTATTTTCAAGTTATGCTTTATCAAAATTTTGATTATATATCATTATTTGTCATGTTTTCACCAAATTTCTTTTGATATATAAAAAAGTTCTTTAGTAAACTAATAGAAAATTATTATCAAGGAAATTAGATTTCAAATTTTATTTACTATTAATTTTTTTAAATTTTGTTTTCACTATAATCTACAATATCAGAATAGCTGAAATATTTACATAATTTTTATTTTTATTGTTGACTAGTCTATAATATGAATGATATATGATGATGAAAAATGTTTTATTAGCTATTGCAAATAAATGTTAGTTTATCAATATTTTTTGATGTAATAAACTGGGTAAGATAGCATTACAAATATTTTGTTTATTTTAATAATTTTTTTTTAAAATTTTCATATTAGTTAAGGCTTTTATTTGTTTTTGCTTGCAGAGAGTGGTTTTTCTTTGTTATATTTGCCATTTCAAGTTCTTTGCTTTCTCTAATTCTGTCTATAGTAATTTGACATTTTGGGCCTTATTTATTGAAATTAAAAATGTTAAATGTTATTAATGCTTTAGAATAGCTGATATGATATAATGTTTCTTCTTTTTTGATGGATTTTCATTTTTTATTGACCATTAATTGATGATTAATTACACAATAGTAATGGTTCTATCCAATTTTAAAATGTGTTTTTTTTTTGTTTTCTTTTTACAAAGTGATAATTGATTTCATTTATATTATTGCTCTAAAAATATGTATTTTGAAACCAGTAATCATTAAAATCATTTAATGTATTTGTATAAGCAAATTTAAACTTCTTTTTTTTAATTATTCCATCTAAATGTGAACAAGTTATGATAATGACATCAAGATTGATTTCTTCTGTTGCTACTGATTTATGCCTTCCAGCAGTCTAGACAATAAATGATGTGCAATTCTTTATGCTTTTTTTATCTTCAGCTTCATAAGTTCATAAGCTTGCTGTATTATTATCTATTCATTATGTGGATAGATTATTAAAGTAATTTTATGTTAATTATTCATAATGTCATCTTTGTCCATTTCCTAGATTCTATATTTGCTCAAATACAAAACTACATTATCTTATGAGGAATTTTAGGAGAAAAGGCTGATACATTTTTTGTAGTAATAAGTTGCACATTGAATTGTATCTTACCAGCTTTAACTTTATTTATAACATATAACTTAAAAATAACATTTGATGTTTTTCTTTTAACCAGTTTTTTGAAGAAGGGTTATTTAGCTATAAAATAATCTAAGCTAAATATCAATAACATATTAAAGTATCATCTATTTAGTTTGAAATCAATTTGCATAGTTGATCAAAGTAAGACTTTGATGACTAACTTAAACAGTTAATTTTATTTAAATGGACATATGCATGAGCACATGTTTAATAAACTTATGACTTTTATAATTTTCCTGTAAGATTCATCCTTTCAAATTTAAAATCAACATTGCACAATGAGCTTCAGAAAATAACAGAATTATTAGTCTTTCACTAGTAATAAGATAGTTTTTGTTTTTTGCTTATAAATTGCATGTCTCATTTCTCAGGCACATGGAATAATTTTCTATTTCTCAAGTAGTTTATATACATTATAGGTCTGTACTATTTTTTTAAGATATAGAAGTAGGTAATTAGTCAGCAATTGATGAATCTAAAAGAAGAGTAAATCTTTTGAGTTGTCAATTTCAATGTTTGTTTAATTGAATTTATCTTATCTGCTCAGTGTAGTTGTCTATTTTAGTGCATGTTTCTTTTTATTTTTGTAAGCTTTTAAAATAACAACACTAACACTTTTTGCTTGATATTTTGATTTTTCATTATTAATTTACTATTGATGACTTTAGAAAGTTTTTTTTTAATCATTTTTTTAAAGTTTTCAGTTACTTTCAAAGAATCTCAGAATTAACCCCTAACATTCTGATTTCTAAGGAAAGATCCTCAAAGTATTGTAAATTCTATTCCCAGCTCGGTTGTAAAATACATGATCAGTATTGCATATTGTGAAACCATTTTGTAAAAATGGCTGTAATCATGACATGTGCTTAATTTTTATTCTTCTAATACAAATTGTACCTTAAAATGGGCTTTTATATAATGGATTTGTTTATATAAAATGTGCCTAAACTAATTTTCCAGTGTAAAAATGTATTTATGCTTTTATAACTAGACATTACTAATATTTAGCAATGCCTAATACTCTGATAGAATTTTCTTTTAACTTCTTTACGATGTTCTTGTATACTTAACTGTTAATATAATTTGTATTAAAATAAATTTACTCCTTTATCTTATAAAGGTATATAAACCACTTTTTTTAAATTATAAACCCTTTGCTATTATATAATTATCTAAATTCATTATATTTTTGTCTTTGCTTTTATATAAGTAAATTGGAGACTCATTTGATTTCATTAATAGATTAAGTTTTAAGTAAATATGAGACATTGTTTTAAAAAAATCTTAGTCCATTTTAAGATATTTAAAAAAATGATGTAAATATAAGCAGGAGTGACATTAGGAGAGTCTCTGTTACTTTATAATCATGTATTTATTATATATGAACAGAAGTGGGAGCTGAAATATTCATGCCCAAGACAAGAAGCCCCTCAAAAAAGATTCCATTATTTGCTCATATTTTAGTGACTTTTCATCCCACTCATATATTGGCCACTCCTTAAAACTAACATGAATGTTTTTAATGTTCGTTTTTTTTTTTTTTTGTTTTTTTTTTTTTAAGACTAATTGCTCACAAAATACAAAATATTTAACAGTAAATTAAAATAATCTAAAATAATATTAAATTCTTTCTTTTGATAAATTGATAACATGTTTCAATGATCTATCATGTCAAGTAATCAAGTGATGTTGTTCAAGTAAATAAACTTTGATTCTATTTTTATTGTTAATATATATCAGGTGAAATATTTATTCTTATTTTTAAAGCTATACAAGCAAATATCAACATAATCTATATATTTTTCTCCAAGATTAGCTTTACTGAAATCAGATTTCTAAGGATTCTGGAATGTAAGGCTTGTAACTTCAGTTTGTCAAGTTTGTTAATTTAGTTTTAAAATTTGAATGATTTTTTTTTTTAATTCACAAGTGTTTGTTATTCTGGATTGAATTAAAAATCCTCTTTAAAAAAAAAATTGCAGCAGATTTATTAGATTATTTTAAATAATTGGAATGCTCAGACATTTGCATTTAGCACTGGTAAATGTATCCTTTGTATGTATGGCTGCTTTTCTGTTCACACCCTTTGCACTGGCATTGTAGTAGTTCATGTTAGTTATTCTTTAACTTCATTAGTAGTCATGTAATGAAAGTTGTTCTCTGCATCAGATTTCCCAACCATCCCCAGTGGCTAGAGTAATGAAAGCAGATGCTCCAGCATGCTCTAAGGATTGCTCTTATTGTTTAAAAATTAAACATCTTTGCATATATTAATTCTCTTGTTATAAGCTTGTAAAACAAATATCATTTATTTCATTTTAATGTCTTCTTATCTTCCTATATCCATGTACATAAAGTTAATTTTCTGAATAAACTTTTTTGAATTCACTTTCTTTGGAAACTAGATTAAAGGCAGTATTAGAAATATTGAAATGTTTACTCCTCGGTCCTCTTAATTAAAATTACTGTCAAAGGATGCTTATCAATTTTAAAACTTGTTATAAATAATGAATTTAATTTTTATTAATTTCCAAAGGCAATCCTTATCACATGACATACATCTGCATAATGTATTTTGTACATTTTATTTCCAGGTGAGATATTTACAACCCCCCCTCCAAGTTTCTTCATCAAATGTGTTTATTTCAGATCATCTGTTGTAATAATTCAATTTTTTATTAAGAATGATTTTATAGTTTGATATAAAACTGATTTGTAGGTTGCTATCACAAGTATTGTTAAGTAATGTTATTTTGTAAAAAAAATTTTAGAACAAATAACAATAAACAGCAAGTATTTCTGGCAATTATATTTTTAAGGTGGTAGATTACTTAGATATAAGGGCTTTGTGAATGGACTCTTCAAGTCTGGCTCTAATTTTAGAACAATATTAATTTAAAAATATAGTTTCATCTATCTTTATTTTAATCTTAATATTTATTTTTTAAATTATGAGTAGAAAAGCTACACTATGGAAATGCTTTGTGTCATCTTTTAATGAAAATTTTGACTAATTTTCAAATGCTTAATAAAAAGAAAATGATTTGTAAGCTGCTATGCTGTTAGTTATTGTAATTTACAATCATCATTCATATTTTAGAACAAAAATATTTCATATAAAACTTGTGTTTTCTAGTCTAGATTTGACACTAGATTTAATCTATTAAGTTTAATAATCTAAACAAATTTGCTTTCATCATTTTTTTTTTTTTAATATGAAAAAATTTTATATAAATTTGATGATGAAATAATACTTTAGTACTATTATGCTAATTATGAACAAATGCTAACCCCAAAATATTGAAGTCAATTTCATCTGGGACAGTAACAGATTAAATTTTGATTATTAGATTTAATGCTATTTGTAATGTCATTAAACCAATCTTTCTGGCCATTTATTTATTTGTTAACTCTTAAAAATATTTTGATTGCAAAAATCTTTGTGGCATCATCAATCACACAAATAATTTAACTGAGATCTATATACAGCATTTATAGCCGTCTTAAATAATGTATCATAACTTTTGGTGGAGATTATGATTTTTGTTTAATACATTAATATCATATTTATTTTTTTATTGCTAAATATCTGGAAGGTAATTCTGCATGAACCAATATAGAATTAAAACTGACATTTCATAGAAAATATCTTAAGCAATGATGATGTTTCTAATTTTTAATAAAGTGTGTTTGAATAATTTGGTAAAAAAAAAACCCTAAAAACTAAAAAAAATTGTTTTCAATTAATTTGATATCTTGTTAATGACTCAATTTAAACTTTTTAAATCGTTTCTGAACATAGAAACAATGCATAATTTATTTAAAATTGAGACCCATATATAATAATTGTTAGTGGTATGAAAAATTTTAATTACATCAAAATAGACATAAGTAATACAGTTTAATATTGTAGAATGTCTATAGGTAGTAATGTTTATTATAAAATGAATTTTTTGTTTTTAAGCTATTTTAAAACATTTATGTCTGTTCTTTTATCTTTATAAATGTTTGCTTTAATCTTCTCTCTCCAGTTTTTATGATGAAGCATTTTCTTGAATGATTCTTCACATTAACAATTTTATGCTTTAATTTATAATTTTTAAATAATAGATACAAAAAAAGAAAACCTTTTTTCTTTTTAACAATGGCAAATGTTTTCAGGTTTCTTTACAAAGAAACTGGAAAGTAGTTAAAACAAATCTTGAAAACTTGTGTTCTTCATTTTTATTTCCTATATTTCCAGTTCATTTGCTATTTTGTCAAGTTGAAAATTTAGTGATCTGCCTTAACGTTTTTCTTTGTTTCTCTTGGATTTCTTTCAAGGGATACTTTTCTGCTTCTAATAATTGCCTGGCTAATTTCTAACTTAGAAATCAATTCAAATCATTTAAAGCTAAATATTAATATAGACTGAAATATACAGTTTACATTTCTTTGCAAATTCTAAATATTTAAAATGCTGATTAAATAAAATCTTCTTTCAGTTTCCTACTATTTGTAAAATATTTAAGACCATTGAATGTTTTTCTGGTTAGCAATCAATTATTGTGCAATTTTTGCAAGGGTTTATATTATTTTATTTATTATTATTTTTTAAAATTAATATGGTTCCACTTTTCACCTGTCAGAATTTAAAAACATCTCTTTGAAGTTACTATTTACGTATTTGATAAATAGAAAATATATTTGCATAAATATTTCATTTTCTTTGTTAAAGTTTGTTAATTAGAACATAAGAAAAAGGATATTAGAGGCTGTGATGTTACAAAATTTACTTGTTTACAAGTGTATTTATTTACAAGCTACTTTACTGTGCCAATAGTTTGTGGAGCAGATATTTTCTTAATTCTTAATGATACATTGCTCAAATCCATATTTCCATTGTTTGCAGTGAGACAAAGATTCTATGCTTGTATACTAATACCATATTGTTTGGTTGCTACTTATTGTTTTCAGGTATGGACGCTTTTCAGGGATCAATCGTAAAGTGCAGATCAAATATCAGCCTCATGGCCGACCTAAGCGCTCATCAAGTGAAGAGGGTGGGTACTGTTACAACTGAGCTGGGTACCCATACAACCAGGGTTTGCTGCTATAGCTCTATGTATATATATATATATATATATTCTTATGTATGTATGTATATATATATATATATATATATATATATATATATATATATATATATATATATATACATGCATACATACACACATCTATACATTGATTTATACATTCTGCTTGGGTCCTAACACAACTGTAATATCACTAAATGTAGTCATCTTGTGCTCACTTCACTTAGGCTTGCTACCTGATGGTACTTCAGTAGTATAGGTGACAGCTCTCTTTACTTTTAGTTTGATATGGGCTCAATGTCAACTGACATGATCCCTGAGAGTGTAATGAGCAAGTATCGCAATACTAATACTGAATGTGTTACTCTACTAACTATCAAGCATGTTATATACATGTATTGGATTAAGCATTTCTGCTATGCAATTCCTGAAATAACACAACTTGCATGAGAAAGACTTTTTTCCAATACTAAATCTCATTGAAAGAATGAAATAAAATCTCTTCTCATTCTCTAATATAGTTTCATTGGTAGAAGAAAGTTCCATAAATTATTGGAAAAATATCCAAATTTGTAATATTTCTTTCATGTTCTTAAGGATATTAAATTTGCAAACTCTAGATGCAACTGACAGGGAAGCAAGGGAACCAAAGTGGCTTTCCAGGGTTAGCTTATTTGCATTCTTACCTGGAGGGAAAATTATTTTTGGCATTTCACCCCCCCATCCCCAATTAGTCACAAATATAAATTAGCTGTCATCAAGCATTAATCAATTTCATTGTAAATACCATTTACAGAGAATTGCTTTCATTATTGCTTTAGATTATTATTCAACTAGCCATGAAACTTGAATTCACTTTTCACAAGAAAATATTTTAATTTTTAAAATGATAGAAAAACAATCAACATAAATGATTTTTGAAAAATGATTTCTATTGAAATCCAACACAATCTTTCTGTTACAAAATTCTCTTTGCATAAAACTAAATACATTATTGTCTGTAAATGTGAGAAGAGTCATTAACATTTCAGGCTTGGATGCTTGAATTTCTTTTTTTGTGTTATTGATGGTGTTACCACATATGTTTTGGCCAGTTCATTTTATAACTTTCTTCAGGTGAATAATCCATATAGAAAAAGAAAACTTTTGTTGCTTTTCTCCGTTTTTGCTTTGACAAGATGGTGTAAGAAAATGGTTACCAATATATCAAGCAGGTTCAACAGCTAGAGATATGAAGATAACACAATTCACTGCCATCTATGTAAGTTGGGCGATTGTAATTCATACATGAGTATGTTACTTCCCCTCCCGGCAGAGCAAAGACACCCACACTACAAAATGTTTACACACCTGACCTCTTCAATACGTCCTAATACTTATTTTCTATATTTAATGGTTCTTCAGAAAAACAAAAAAAGTGACACAGTAACTAACCCAGCTTCAATATTATATAATTTAACTATTTGGGTGTCAGTTCTTTATTCAAAACTAAAAACACAATTAGGAGGAAACAAAGAACCAACAAGAATGCTTTATTAAAATTTTATATTGTATATGTATCTTTGTGTGTGTGTATAATGTAATGACTGGCCACTTTTTCTTTTCTTTTTATTCCAAAAATATTTGAAACTTTCATTCTCTTTATTATTTTATAATACTCAGTTTTCCCTATTTTTAGATTATTCATTCTTGATGTTCCTATTTTTACAGGGACTTTAAATTCACTATTCATGTAATCTTATTATTTAATAATTATTTCCATATCTATTCTCCCCTCAGTTTAAAGACAGAAAATGATGGTCACCTATTACTGAGCCACTATCCCCTGACCATTTACCAACACAAAACATTAGTTTTTCTACTGCAGTTGATTAGTTTTTCAGTATTGCATGATTTCACTTTTGAAAATACTTTCCTCTCTTGGCCTTTATTCAAGAACAATGAACCAGCCCAGCTGTCACCTCTATTACCTGAAGCCTGCATGTTAAAGAAAGAAAAAGAAAAAAAGATTTTCAAAAATATTTTAGTCATCAACAATGAGCTTGTGCTTCTCTGGCTTTCTTTGTTTTCTAATTTTGCACTCATTTCTTTGCTTTATGTGTTTGAATGCTTCCACTCTCTGCTTTTGTTTTCAGTGTGTGTGTGTTTTTTTTTTTCGTTTGTTTGTATTTTTCTGCTGTTTTTTATGTTTGTATTTTGTAACTGAAGAAATTTTATTGCAGGAAGAGTTAGAAAAGAGATGATAAAACTTTGATAGAATTAATTATGAACTTGCTTAAGGTTAGATCCAAATAGATTATGGGCTGTGAGATTTGAGAGAAAGTTTACTAGTTTCCTTTCTTTCAGGATAACATTGATTCTCATGAAACATTTGCTTTAGAACCTTCTTTTTTCTTCCCTGTCAGGGAATTTGTGCTTTTTTTATGAATCTAATAACAACCAAGGATTTTTTTCCTTTTCTTTTTATTTTCAATTAAAGAAAACAAAATTCTCAATATTGCAGCTTTTATTACCTATCAACACTGAATACTAGAAAGGTATAAATGTCTTAAAATTCAGATTTAGTAAAAAAAAAAAAATTCATGCTTCCCCTTTTGGAAGTTAACAACTTTTCAGCACTAATGCATAAAATAATTTTTGTATTGAAATTGAACAAAATAAATAGATATGTTTTTTACTGACATTTCATGTTTAGTTTATAAGGTACATTTGGTGCTGGGGGAATAGATAAGGTGGTTGAAACTAGTTCAAACATATCCAGTTTATAGTTAAATTTATGTCCAATCTAATTATTTGATGTTTACTTATTTTGTATATTTGAGAAAAACTTTCATAATAATTTAATTATAATTAATATGGTCATTTTATTTATCAGAAAAGGCCTTCATGTAGAAAAGTGTGTGTCTATAATAATTGGTTGATTTCTTTCAAAATAAAGATAAGTTGTTTTTCAAGTGAAGAAAATAGAAATTGTCTGAATATTGAAAATTCAGATTTGTGTCAGTTGAATTATTATTTTCTAGTTATATAACTGCTCATTGTGCCCTTTTAACTATACTATTCTATTCATTAAATTGACCAGGTATACATACTTTGAATAGCAGAAAACTAAAAATTTCTAAAGTTTACAAAGGATTTTGATAATTTTCATTTTTTTTTTCTTTTTCTGAAGCTAGATTTCCATTAAGCACTAAATCTGGAAAGTGCATATTAAACAAATCAATTAACTAATGTTTTCAAAACTTGAAAAAAAATTTTTTTTTTTTTTTTTAATAATTTAGAGTTTTTTAGTTTTTCTATTTGCCTGCTTTAAATGTATTCTTTCCTAAATTGATTTTGTAAAAAGTTTTATCTATAGTTTATAGATTAAGACAACCAGACAGTTTAGAACTTTATTCCTATTTAGTTTTTTAGAGCATTTGAACTTTAAATTTTACTACTTAGAAAGCAAAATTATTAGTTTTTCTTAGTTTATAAATCCTCTTTTGTGGCATTTTAGAAAATAAAATTTGTTTGAGAAATTAATACTTTTAGTGTCATATAGCAACAACTCTATGTAGAAGCTTATGAAGCTTTATTTGACTAATTCATCTTTAGCACTTAAAACATTTATTTTATTATAGCAGATGGTCACAAGCAATATAGGCGATGGGATGTGCTTATTACCACATTTAGTTAAAACAAACTGAAGATACACGTCAACCTTCTGTCTATATCTGGAATGATCTAGCTGTCATAAAAATATGGACTGCATATCTATTCAGACTGAAAATTGCTGGTACATTATCATACCTTAAATCTATTTTTTAGCTGTCAGTGTTAATTCCATATGTCTATTGGTTTTTGTTTGCGCTTCTTGCTTCTCCAGGTACAAATTTACTGGCATCAACCGGAAGGTCCAGTTGAAATACCAACCATATGGTTATGACCAAAGCAGTACTGAGCAGGGTAAAGTGGTTTCTCCCAACATTTCATCATGATGACCAGTATTCAATTCAACAGTTTTTTTTTTGTTTTACTGCTCTCCGTGTGTGTGCGTGCGTGTGTGTCATTATTGTTATCCTTACAGCTTACAATATTTTGTTTCTATTGCTGTGAGCATAATTGCATCTGTTTATTCCTTGTGAAGCTTTTTTCTTTTTTCCTTTCTCTGCTTCCATAATTATTGTTAGCATTATAAATGCTACTTTCATTGCTTTTATAGATAAACTTTGTATAAAGTAATGATTTTATGAAATTTATCACTGAAACTTTTATTGTAGCAAAAATATTGAATTTATTTTTCTTTTGATAATTTTTATGAATTTTCATTTTTACCTTCAATTTTTCTTTTAAAAGGTTTGACAAAGATGTTTATGATCGAAGTTTTGTCATATATTAACAAAAATATTTTTAACTTGAATATTCTGCTCTAATGAAATGTTTTATTTATACTATGAATTACATTGTAAGAGAGAATTTGTTGGCCTTGAAATAACAAAATTCTTCATTATGCAGCTTGAGAATTTATTTTTCACCAAAATTAAAAACTAAAAATAGTAATATGTTTTTCTAATTGTTGTGAAATCTTCAATTATGAAAATTTTACTTTTTAATGCTTTACTTTTAAGTAAATTCTACCTTCCAAAAAATACACTTAAAACATTTTGTCACAGTAGAGCACAGAACTTTCACTGACTTGAGCTTTCACACACAAGTATTTTTTCTTCTGTCAATCATGTGCTAATAAAATATGCTATATCAACATAGTATGAATATATCCCAGGCAGATATTCTTATTCATATTTTAATGTACCTGCTTCTTAAAATAAATATTTTAATAACTCTTGGAATATTAAAATATGTTCACTATATGCCACAAGCAAATTTACGGCTTTTCTATCCAAACGCTATTCTCTATTTATTTTCTTTGCTGTACTGAATATTTTTTTATTCTTTTCATTTCTGACACCTTGCTTGCAACAACC